CTCTCTCTCTCTCACACTCTCTCTCTCCCTTTGTCTCTCTCTCTCTCTCTCTCTCTTTCTCTCTCTCTTTCTCTCTCTCTTTCTCTCTCTCTCTCTCCACCTCTCTCTCTATTTCAAAATGACAAATATTCTTTGTACTTTTTGTTTTGGTGTCCGATGTATTATGTTATTTTGTCTTGTTGACACCACAAACATGTGCTTGGGAATGGTTTACAGTATTGTTACTGAAAAACTTTGTCAGTTAACTCTTCTTCCTCCGTCATTCGAAAACGCATTGTCAGTGACGGAAAAGGACCGACGTTCATTTATTAGTATAGCTAAAGGAACAGACACAATTACTTAAAAAATATACTAGGCCCTAAACTGTAACTTTTTCTGACAGTGTGTGTTCTTTGTATTGTTTTATCTTTCTGTACATGCGTTTCATAACTTTAAAATGTGGATGGTTGGCGGGTGCTCTGGTGTGGTTTGCTTCTTCTTTCCTATAAACAATCTATCGTCCTTATCTCCCCTCCTTCTTTTTTATGTTTGTTACTCTCATGTAACACCTCTAATCTTCTGGCGCTCATATGACCTTATGCAGTTGCGAGCGCCGTAAAACCTCTAGTAAAACTAACTAGACTAACTTTTTTCTGACGTGCTTTTCCTGACATATGGGCAAAATGAAAGGGCCCAAAGTTTGTTTCTTTATTTCACTTCCTTTGCTTTTGTAACACGAGTGAAGATCAACATTCAATGAACTTGGATTTACTTGGATCCAGAGCTAGAATCATAGCAGGCGGCACATGTCCATAGCTGCTCATCTCTCCTTTCCAGCGTCCACCCCAGGGTCTTCCTGCTAATTGTCTCCATGAGGAGCTGGTTTGAGACACGCCAGACCACTCCTCGGAGCAAACTTTTTTTCGCTGTGCCCCGCACACACTTTTAAAATTCAATGAACTTTCCTACTATAAATAAATGCCATTACAGCCATCTTTAAAGGCAGTTTTATTACGATACCCTTAAAACTAAAACGATTCACGGGGTAACAAATTGATTACTTGAAAATGGTTTCATCTACCGTCAAAAGCCACTCCCTGAATGAGTTAAGGCGTTTGTTGACTAAGTTCTTTTCTTTAAGTTGGATATATTTTTAGCGTTCTTTGCTAAACATTACAATTTAGCGACCTGAATTCCGAGCATGTCTCAATTTTTGCTCCTGGGATAGAGAGGGATGGAGTGAGGTACAGAGAGAGAGAGAGAGAGAGAGAGAGAGAGAGAGAGAGAGAGAGAGAGAGAGAGAGAGAGAGAGAGAGAGAGAGAGAGAAAGAGAGGATAGATAGATAGACAGATAGAGAGAGAGATAGAGAGAGAAAGAGAGAGAGACAGAGAGGGAGAGAGAGAGAGGGAGAGAGATTTTTTTAGAGAAGAGCACAACTGCCCATAATACGTCAAGGAGTACACTTATTGTAAGCTGAACAGATCGTTCAGAACATCTGGATCCGAAAGGTCAGTGTGGGTCCTGTGATACACTGGAAGACAATGGGGCGTGTCACAGAGACGATACACAGATGCTCACCGGCTCTTGATTAGGAGGTCTCCTCATGCTCTCATCTTTTTCTCTATGTTCCCCCTGCTAGCCTAGATCTCAGGGATAGACGAATGCTGGTGGTCCAACCTGTAGTGCAAACTAGAGCTTCGCGAAGAATCGAAACCGGAACCGGTTCCCACGATTAATTCTACGGAAGAAAAGTGTCGACTCCTATTTACGTAAACCAACGGTCACCAGTTACCTTAATTATTAAAATCTTCTCTTTTAAAAATTTTTTTTCAGAATTTATTTTTGAAAAATAAAAGTTGATTATTTGTAGTGTTCCAAAATCAAGGCCATCCTAAATCCCGAAGATGTCCAGAGCCAACCGGGTAACCATCGAAAAAAAATCACATCATTAGAAAGTTAGAAATTGGGTTCGGAGTCGAATCCTATGATTCCTAGCTTGTAAGAAGAGGGAAGCCCGCCGCCCAGCACTAGTGCAAACTAGACGAATGCTGGTTGTTCAGCTTGTAGTGCAAACTGATTTTTACGTATGTGACTGTTTGTTTCTCCTTATATAAATCTTATAGTGACTCACAGACCCATGTGTATACATTTATACAAATTTTAATAGGCACACCCTCAAACATATTATAGTCTCTCTCTGTCACTCTCTGTCTGTCTGTCTGTCTGTCTGTCTGTCTGTCTGTCCGTCCGTCTGTCTGTCTGTCTGTCTGTCTGTCTGTCTCTCTCTCTCTCTCTCTCTCTCTCTCTCTCTCTCTCTCTCTCTCTCTCTCTCTCTCTCTCTCTCTCTCTCTCTCTCTCTCTCTATCTCTCTCTCTCTCTCTCTCT